AAGTGACCTCTCCTCATGATTTTCCCCTCCTCTGAATTTCCGGTGTGCTGTCTGGAGCTCTGCCCTGACATTTGCAAATGCTACCTTGTTCTGGCTATTCCTAGTGTGAAGCTCACAAGCAGGAGTTCTGCTGCTGGTTCTGGGCTCGGGTCCTGATTTCGTCACTAATGACGACTTGTGGAGTCATTTGGCAGCTCGACTTCAGGGTCCTCTTCTGCATCTGAGAAGGAGATGGTGTTGCAACCCGCTTCCTTTCTGGTTCAACACCTCGCACCTATTGGACACGCAGCACAAGATCGCTCCTGACACTGCAGACCCTGCCTCAGGGCTCGCATGTGCTGTGGGCTGGGCCCCAGCCTCTTGTGGCCGCCCACACACCACACTGACCTTTCTCTGCTCTCAGCAGCTCTGCAGCGTCATGTGTGCTGCAGGTCAGGAAGCATTTATGGGAGGATGGGTGGGCACTACTGGGACCCTCTCCTCCAGGGTTGGCCACCCTCATGCTGGCTTCTGCTCTCAGCCCTGCTCAGTAGCATCCAGAGCAACCTCTTTTGTCAATTTGCAGCCCTTGAATGCTCCAAGGACTTTGGCCTGTGACTAAAGTGAGGGATGGATGATGTCCAGGAACCCCTTAGAGACCTCTGCCGGACTCATTCTGTCAGGTTGGGGCCTGCGGAATTCGGTCAGCCAGTTCTCTCTTTCTCTGGGGATGCTTTGAATGGGTCAGCCCTGTAAATCCCCTCCCTCTTAACTCACCCCATGTCCAGACTTTGCCCAGCTCATTCCTGGGCAAAGGAGGATCATGACTTCAAAGCCAGCCTCAGCAACTTAGCGAGGTCCTAAGCAACTCAAGGACACCCTGTCTCTAAATAAAGTACACAAAAGGGCAGGGTTATGGCCTGATGAGCCCATTCTGGCCAGATGAGCCTTTCCCAAGTTTTAGCCATGTTGTAACATGTAACATCAATACTGCTGCTTTTCAGATACCCCTTCCCCAAACAGAATGTTTCCCAGACCTCTATAAACCATCTGAGTCTCTACCAACAGTAGAAATGATGTAGCTCCTACCTGCCTCTGGCTCTGCCCTCTGCACCCCTCTAGCAGATGGACCTGACCCTCAGGAGCACAACCATTTGCATGTAGTACCTGCTCCGTCCAGTCTGCCCCTGGGCTGGTTGCAGGGTTCACCCCCAACACGGGTTTCTCTACAGTCAATCCCAGTGCTGGCTTTTAACAGCAGCGGGAGAGAAATGAGTTGTGTTCAAGGGCATTGTTTTTAAAGGATGGTTCTTTAATGGGGTCCTTGCTGCTTTGAACTCTTCCAGTGCTTCTGTTTTATGGGTATCGATTTTTTCTGATCATGAAAGTAATGTATGGTTATTGTTAGAATGTGGGGACAATATAGAAATGTGTGGCTTGGAGGGGACAAGTGCTCATGCATAGACTCTTTCTTCTTGGTTCGCTCCTTGGCATTGTGTCTCCTGTCCTCAAAGGGGTGGGCAATGACCCTGACCCTGCCTCTTGTGCAGCAGCAGTGGGAATGGGTGGTGTTTGCTATGACTTGACTTGAGATGGGGGGCTGGCTCAAGGAGCTTGTCTTTGGAGTGTGACAGCAAAGCGCCTTGAATCGTAGTGGTGTGTAGTAGGGAAAGTTTGGGCCTGCCATTGAGAACCCAAGACAACGGGGGCTGCACCCTGGTCTTCCTCGCCTGCACAGTGGGGATGACGAGCCCTCGCCCGCCTGTTTCTGAGGGAGGAGATTGGGATGAACAGTGGAGCTGTGGAAGGGAATACTCTAAGCTCTAAATTCTGCACATTGTCATTTGATTCAGAAAAATTCCTACTGTTACCACCAAACAGCTCCCTTATGGTTCTGAGCCAGTAGACTTGGGAATTTAGTCTTAAGGGTGTCACTCTGGCCTGCTAGGAGAGGGGTGTGCTCTTTGGGGGTCTTCAGGGAAGGGCATTGTAGAAAGTGGTGGCCAGTGAAGGCTGGGGAGAGCTGTGCTCTGGAGGGGAGGAAGGTTGGAAAGAGAGAAGTCCCTGACCAGAACCTGCCTGACCCTCAGCCCTCCACCGTGCTTCTGGCCCCTCCATACCTACCTTCAAATTGGCTCTCTCCCAGGATAGACCTGTGACAGTGGACATCTCCTGCCTCACCGAGGCCTGGCACCAACCCACAATGCCAGCTGTGGCCCCAGACTCAGGGGCTTCTGGACCGACATGGTCCCAGTAAAGGTTGGGAGGAGAGGCCCCAGGAATTGGGGTGTCGGTGGCACGTTCACTTTCGCCTTTGAGACCTTGGCTACTTGACTATTTAGTTCATTTCCAGCCTCTCACACCATCCTAGGGGGTCCTTCCTTCTGAAGAAGGCAGGGAGCTTCACCAATTTTTTATTTTTATTTTTTTTGGTACTGGAATTGAACCCAGGGGCACTTAACCACTGAGCCATATCCCTGCCCTTTTGTGTACTTTATTTAGATACAGGGTGTCCCTGAGTTGCTTAGGGCCTCGTTAAGTTGCAGAGGCTGGCTTTGAAGTCATGATCCTCCTGCCTCAGCCTTCCACACTGCTGGGATTACAGGCATGTGCCATCACATGGAGCTCGAGATACCCAAATTTCAGAATCCAGTGCCTGTGTCTTGTGACACTGGGCAAGTTATCTAACCTCCTGGTACCCTAGTTTCCTCATGTATGGAATGGTCATAATGATAATGGTCCCTCCTCCCTGGATTGGATGTTTATATAGCTTGTATACACAAGGTGCTCAAAACGGTCCTCAGCACTCCATGTTAGCCACCAATGCTTTTATTGTCATTTTAGGTGGCCCTTCTCATTTTGTTCACCCTGCACACAGGCATACACAAGAATAATGTAGTCCTCGACCCCCTCTCCATTTTCAGAGAGGTCTCGGTCACTTCGAGGGCTCTGGCCATTACCAAGGTCCAGGTGACTGCAGCTTTTATATCTCTAAAATGGCTTAGGAAAGCATGCCCATGGAATCAAATTTGTAAAATACCAAAAAGAGGATAAGGAAGACATTTTAAAAATTATTGATAACCTGTTTACTCAGAGGTAACTACAATTGGTATTTTCATGTAGTCTTACCAGCTGTGTGTGTGTGTGTGTGTGTGTGTGTGTAAAACACCAGTATAATGTGTCATTTAGAAAAGAAAAAAAATACATATAATAGCATTGTTTATATTCTGCTTTTGTCACCCAAAACCATAACTGTGAACATTTTCTGATGTCCTAACTTTGAAAATACCCACATTTCTGAACGTCTCTTCCTATGTGTCTGCCCAGGGAGGCATTTGAGGGTCAAGGTCAGCGTGGCTCACGAACTGCTTCCTCTGCCTCTTTCCATCCTCAGCCCCTTCCCCATATCAGCTTGTGCTGCGTCTGGCGCTGTCCTGTCCACCATTCAGTGCCCGTCACCACCCCGACTCCTCTTCCTCCTTGCCCCGTCCTGTCCCACATCCCTCCTTTGTTGGATTCTGTAGCATCAGGCTCTCTAGTGTCTCCATCCCATCGTCTCCCTCACTCCCCCACTTCACTACCACATGCTAGTTCCTGTCCTGATCTTGTCAGTTTCCTCTCCTCTTGACTCTGACACTATTTTTTCTCTCGCTCATGCAATCCATATTTATGATAGAAAATGATGCCCGAGCCTGCTTCCTGGATCTCCTCCCGCCTGGTCTCACTGGCCGCATCCCATGCTCACATCCCTGCCAGGGCAATCTTCTGCAAGCAACCGCATCCTGGCCCCCTACCCCCATGGCCTGTGGTGCACCACAGATGTTTCCATCTGGCCTCTAGGACATGCCCATCCTGCCCGTGTGGACGTAGCTCCATTGTTTCATGGACTCTGTGTCCCAGCCAGGGTTTGACCTGAGGGCTGTGCTCAGGCTGTTCCCATCAAATGCTGCCACCCTCTCCCCACTTGGTTCAGTGTTCTTCCACCCACAAGGTCTGTGCCTAGTGCCCATCCTCCCTGTCAAGTTCCTGGTAGCTCCCAGATACCCCCCCCCACCACCACCTTTGAATGCCATATACTGACTCGTCCTTCCCTTGAGGTAATTCTGTTAGAGCTTCGGTGCTCTTTGCATGGGCACGAGGAAGAGCGGGGTCTGAGGGGTGGGGGGAGACAGAGCTTGTGTGAGTCTCTGCTTGACTGTATTCTAGCTGAGGCTCAGTGTTCTCGTCTGTAAAGTGGGAGCTAATAATATATCATAACTTAGGTCCCATTTCTAGGAGGATTCGAAAGATGCATGTCAAGGCTGAGTGCAGTTTCTAGAATATGGTGAGCATTCAAAAAATGGCAGTTTTATAGTATTCCTGTCCTGCCTTCCTCCTTGAGCCCGCCTGCTTGGGGCCATCCCTGAAGCCTAGCTCATTCTCCAGTGGTGCCAAAGCTGTCTGAATCCAGGAGGTTTGGCTTGACTGGAACACAGGTCTCAGTTCATCCACCCGATGGGAGGCAAGGGACATTAGTGTCCTGACTTGGTGCAATTTGGAGGATGGTCCTACTGCCTGGCTGAGCACCCCCTGCCCCTCCTCCTCTGGATGGCAGTCTGTGAAGCCCCTCTTGCATGATTGGTTGGCCCTGCAGAGGCCACATCCTGAACCAAACCAGAGGCTTCTTTGGAGCTAACCCAGCCAAAGCCCAGGTCTTCAAAGATTGGTAGAAGGGGAATTTAGGGCACATCCAGCGGCTCAGGCAGCAGCTGGGAAAGAGAGCCCCTTCCCTAAACTATCAAGGACAGTCTTTTGGTGCCAGCTACTGTGGGGGTAGGGCAGATCAAGGGCAGTGTCTGGTGTAAACAGGTAGTGGCAGGAGAGACATCTAGACACTGTCTGGTCTTCCCTGGGTCCTGCAGGGCTGGTCTAGAGGTGAGCCACCTGCTCACCCTCCCCACTGCTGGGGGGACAGTCCCCCAGCGGTTCCCCCAGCACTCGTCCCCCTCAGTTACAGCCTCTGCTGCTGTTTTCTCTTGTAGCCAGGCGGTACTCCAGGGTCCGGCCCAAGGTGACCCTCCTGAACTACACCTCCCCAGTGACCACCGTCAGCCGGCCGCTGAACGAGATGGCCCTGACCCCACTGACGGAGCAGGAGGGAGAGGCCTACCTGGAGAAGTGCGGCAGCGTTCGGCGGCACACGGTGGCCAACGCCCACTCGGACATCCAGCTGCTGGCCATGGCCACCATGATGCACTCGGGCCTGGGGGAGGAGGCCGGCAGCGAGGACAAGTGCCTGCTCCTGCCGCCCAGCTTTCCCCCGCCCCACCGGCAGTGCTCCAGTGAGCCCAACATCACCGACAGCCCCGACGAACTGGAGGAGGTGGCAGGGGACAGCCAGGAGGACTCGGAGCTCATGGAGGAGGTGGCAGGGGACAGCCAGGAGGACTCGGAGCTCAACTGCGCTTCCCTCAGCTGAGATGCCTCCCCCAGGGCTTCCCAGCGCCAGGAAGAGGAGAGCCCTGCATGGACCCCCGAGGGGCTCTTCCTTTGGTTGCAGGTGCCTTATTTCTTTTAAGGTACAGCTCTGGTCTAGCTGCCCAAGGGGGGGTCCCTTCATTTCAGTGTCTGACCAGCTCCTCGCAGCCACAAAGACCCAGTTGCGTCCTGCCCCCCCTCCCCCCCACTTGGATCTTCAAGCCTGGGCCTTTTCCCCTGAGACGTTGGACTGCCTGGTGCTCCCAATGCTGCATCCGATGCCCCAGGCAGAGGTTGTCAGGACCACACGGGGATGGCTTTTGCATTTCCCCTTGAGGCCCTTGATGCAGGCAAAAAGCAGTAGCAGGTTTGGCAGGAGTGAAAGTCAACTGCAGCCCGTCCCCTGTGGCCCTGGGAACGCACCCTCCTTACTTTAGTTTTGTGATCACTGGGAAAGCGCCGCCCACTGGTGGCCGAGGGTCCATCCTCACCTACACCCATGGGCTGCCCACACAGAGTCCTTTGGTTTGGGGCCCCGGAGGCCTCAGGCTGGCTGGTGTCTGTCTTTCATTAAACCTCAGCAGTTCCCTCTCAGGCTTCCTCCCAAGGTCAAGGAACTAACCTCCTTAGGAGTCACTGGTGCCTTAATCTCTCTCTCATTTCAAAGTGGACGGCTTTCCTCTAGTGGATGGGAGGGGCTGGCGGAAACCAACCAGTTAGTCTGTGCCTGGATTTGACTTGAATTTTTAAAAACGTGTATTGTTTCAAAACCTTGTTTGCAGATGTTTGCACGTAGGATCTTGCACTGTCCATTTCCAATGGGGTGTGACTCTTCAGACTGAAAATCAAGCAGACCCCCTGGGAAGGGAGACTGGGAGTGGCTCAGAATAGCCATCTGTGGTGGGCAGGGCGCAGGCCACTCTGGACCTGTGAGTGGTAGGGAGCACCAGGGTTTCTAGGCAGAGCCGTGTTGGGGTGCGGAGACTGTTTGCCTCTTGAGTAGAGGACTGTAACAGACAGATCGTTGCCATGCTCGATAGTCAGCCGAGAAGACGGGAGTGGGGGAGAGATTTTTTGGAAGGAGGTTTATTTGTTTTCATTCTGACCTGCCTCAGTGCTATTTGAGGCAGCAGGCTTTGGTACTGTGTATGACTGCTCCCTCCAGGTCTCGGGGCTCCTATCGACCTGAGTCCGCATCCTCCTCTTCATGTTTGTCTGTTGGCCTCACTAATAGCAGCTCCAGGGGAACAAAAAAAAAAGTTCCTTCCACCAGTGTTTGGGGGGGGGGGGCACATGGTGGCCTTTCCGGATCTTTTGGTCTTTGGAGGTTTTGTTTATGAAATCTTAAGATGTGAGCCACACGGCAAGAGAGGGTGAGGATTTGTTGAAGCTGCCAGCTGGAGAAGAGACCTCCTCAGCTCATCTAAGCCTCCATGGTATTTCCCTTCTGGGTGAAGATCTGAAGTATGTCTAGAATTGTGCTTTTGATAGTTTGAGACTTGGAAGTTTTGTTTAAAAAGTTGATTCAATCTCATCCTTCCAAGAGAATGACAGAAGAGGAATGTTAAGGAGATCTTCCTAGCATGTGTGGTTTAAAGTCCACAAATTGACTAATCTGCATTAGCAAATGGAACACCATGATTTATTTAACTGATGGCTTCTGTCCTCATTTAGTACACACCTGAGACAGATATTTATTGATCCAGGCAAAGGAATTAATCGTGCTTGGGTTTGCTTTTTGTTGGTTTATAAGATTAATGATTCGTGTTTTTAAAATGCCTTTTCCATATCTCAGATATCTCTGATGAGGCAAGCAGTCATCAGTTAAATATATAACCTCTCAGGGTGAGGATGGGAGTGTCAGTACAGACCAGTGTATACTTAGTTGCTGCTGACTGGTAGCCAGTTTACAACTTCACCTTTGTACACACCTGATACAGTGTAGTAAATATTTCAGACTATACACATAAAAATTTTGTGGGTGTTTATGGGCATTTTAGCCTTCAGATCTATTGCAAGTATGATACCTGTGGCATTTTTAACCACTTTTCCTCTCCTCTGTGCAAAGAAGATTCCTTTTATTTATGCCAGGCTTTTCCCATGGCTGAGGTTTAATGACAGGAAGCAATCCCAACTCTCGACTCTGAGTGAAAACAAACCAAAACCCTTTTTACATGTTGTCTGTTTCCAAAATGGATCCAATAAACATAATTTTGTACATGTGACCCTGTTGCCATTGCCTGGTGCCTCAAGTGTGTCTTGGTTGAATCTGCAAAGCACAGCAGTCAAATTGGATCTTGGCGCATCCTGTGCTCCCTGTATCCATGGGTTAGTCGGCTTTTCTTTGCTGTGACGAAATACCTGAGAAAAAGAACTTAAAGGAGGAAAGATTTGTTTGGGCTCATGGTTTCAGAGGTCATGGTTTCCGTGGCCACTTGGTTCCATTATTTCAAAAAGAGGGAAGGAAAGAGAGGGAAGGAGAGAGAGAGAGAGAGAGAGAGAGAGAGAGAGAGAGAGAGAGAGAGAGACCCTTCAAAGCAGACCCCAGAGACCTACTTCCTCCAATTACATCCCAACTCCTAAAGTGTCCACCACCTCCCAACCCACCATTAAATTATGAATCCCTGCATGGATTCATCCATTGATGAGGTCCTTGCCCTAAGGATCCAGTCACCTCCCCCAAACCTCACCTCTGAACACTGCTGCCTTGGGGACCAAGCCTTCAACACATGAGCTTTCAGGCAACATTTTAGATCCAAACCATAAAACCCCACTTGTCCTGCCATCTCATCTCTTTTCCTGAGGCTTCCTCTCCAGAGTTAGGCAGTAGCCTTGGCTCTGCTCATCTACCCTGGGTTTTGTCGCCACCTGGACTGGATAGGCAAGTCACTTCCTAGAGAAGCAGCCTATCAGTGCAGCTTAGGAAACCCTAAAAATATCTGAAGGCGGGCCACTCCCCCACATCAACGTGGCCTCTCTTCCCAGAGCGCTGGACCTTGACAGGGCACTCCCCGTATTTAATCGTGGACTCTCTCCTCACACTTCCCTCTGATACTGTTGGGCAGAGGAAATTTATATTTACTCTCTGCATAAACACTCCTAGGAGGGCTGTAGCAGCATTAGTCTGAGCCCTCTGAAAGCTTAACCAGTGTTTGAAGAGATGTGATCTGAACTGATTAATAATCCCACATTTTTGCTGAGCCTCTGCAGGCCGTTGCTCTGGTAAATAGCCGCTGAGTATTTGGCCTTGGCGGATTTCATGCCATCAGTGCATCTGTGCCATTAATGGGCCACCATGCTCATCCATCCACCCGCTCATCTCTCTGTCAGATCTTTGGTGGTGCTCCGACTGCATGGGGGCACTTTTCTTGGTGCTGGGGATGGTAGTAGTGCCTGCTCCCTTGGATGTGGTGGGGAAGCTGGAAATCAAGTCAACAGGAGCATTTCAAAGAGTGAACAACTCTGGATGGTAAAGAGCCGGTGACGGGAGGTGACCAGAGGTGACCGGAGGGAAGGTGGAAGAGGTCCCTCTCCAAGTTGGCTTGAGCTGAGAGCCGATGACAAGGGACCCAGCCTTACGATCTGCTTTCACTTCCTGTCACTTGTAACAGATGGTAAGAAACTGTGTGACTTCACACGCATTTACGATCTCTCAGCTCTGGAGGTTGGAGGTCCAACATGTCTGTGAAATCAAGATGGTGTCAGGGCTGCATTACATTCTGGAAGCTCTCAAAGATGGTCTCTTCCTTGCCTCTGCCAGCCCCTACAGGGTGTGGGTGGTCCTTGGCTCTGGCCACCTTACTGCCCCTTCAAAGCCAGCACTGAAGGGAGACTTGAGCCTCCTGGGTTGCATGACTCCAGCCCACATTCTGCCTTCCTCATCAACTTTAAAGACCTTTGTATTTACATGCCTTTCTCCCAGGTATGTGCAGAAACGACCTTTCTCCCTTCCTTTCTCTCTAGGTAGGTATCTTCCCCCCCATGCTCTCCAAGCATGCTCCAAATGGACAGGAGAACCTGTGAACACAGGTGGGGCCCAGGATCTGAGCCCCTTCCGTTCCAGCCGGTGGAAGCTACTTTCCTGCAGAGAATTAACTCAGTCCACAGGGCTGCCGTTCTGCTCTGGAGTCTGTGGCCTCTTTCTTGGCCTGCCCTCTTTAGACCTGTGGTAAGACTTTTCTTCGATGCCCGGAACGTCTATTTGAGGAAAAGGTAATCGGCCCTTACTGTTCACCTGGTTGAAGCCCATTTCTTTGAAGAAACCCCCTTGTCAAGAAAGAGGGTGTCCCAGGTCAGTGTGCTCAGCTTCCTGCCCATAGGCAGCCAGCAGACAGTGAGGTTCAAATTCCTTTGCCCTGTTGTACAAGTGAGCTCTGTGCTGATGCTCACAACCTTGGGAGGCAGGCATCACCCTCATTTTGCAGATGAGGAAACTGAGGCTGGGGTCTTCTAAGTGATAGAGCTGGGCGGGACTCAACCCCAGGTTCTGCATCCAAATGGTCCTGGCTTGATAGAAAATGAGAAAGGGGAATTGTCAAGCCAGGAGCATAAACTGCTCAGCCTGCTACAAGGTTAGGGATGCTTTCACAGGTTCCAGAAACACCGAGGAGCAAAGCTACACCTCTTGCTCTTCCCTGGCCACTTCAAGAAAACTCACGGGGCAGGGAGCAGGGGGAGGAGATTCTGGTGTCCTGGACAGTAGATTTCTTAGGTAACTGATTTCAGTGGTTTTTATTTTCCCCTTAAAATTAACATTAAGTTTAAATTTGGCTTAACTTAAAAGGCAATATTTGAATGTTTACTAATCACTAATAATTTAATAAATAATGTAATAATTTTGTCTTTAGAATATTCAAACTCAAAGACCTTTTGTAGGCTTTTAAGTTCAGCTTATGCATCTAGCAGAGTTTAGCAATAACTTTCGCAAAAGCTTTGAATAATGCTTGGTCCAGTTTACAAGCTTAGCTCAGCCCTTCAAACACTTCTAAATGAACTTATAAATCTATTTATTTATTTAAATACTTCAGTTTTTCTGATAGCAAGCAAAAATCACCCCAAATCTTAAATAATTATAGACGCTAATGAGCTTATAAATAAAGAAAACCTTAAGTTCTATTACATGATTTTATAGTCTACTTAGGTGTCACCATAAAAATTCACAAGTCTAAATTAATTCTCAATTACACATTTTAAAGTGGAGTCATAAAGCTGTCACTCTAGTAGGCTTTATTCTCTTAAATATCACACTTATCTCAAACACCAAATATGCACAAGTTCCTTGATGACATAAAAATATGGGTATTTTGGCTTCTTTTAAGAGTTTCTACACTTACATTTATGTGCTCCTGGGGAATTGGCTGGTCATTCTCTCTCTCTCTCTCTCTCTCTCTCTCTCTCTCTCTCTATTTGTTCTAATTAGTTATACATGACAGTAGACTGCATTTTGACACACCGTACATAAATGGAGTGTAACTTCTCATTCTTCTGGTCGTACGTGATGTAGAGTTACACAGGTCGTGTAATCATATATGCACAAAGGGTAATAATGTTGGATTCATTCTACTGTCCTTCCTGCCCCCATTTCGAGGTTGTGGCTGGGACTCTGCAAACCACTTTGGCTTTGTCAGCTGGGGCCCTGCCAGGGCCTGCAGCTCTAGAGGGAGCCTTGGAGGCTGGTAGAGTGAGAACAGAGAACTCCTCCTGTCCTTGTCACCTGCAGGGCATTGGGGTGCAGTAGCAGCAGAGGTTCCCACTGGTGGTTTTCCCACATTCTCAGAACCAGACTTCACCCCTCCCCTCAGACACCACCACCAGCTGGCCACAGCCCCTCTCAAACCTTATCAATGTCAACGACTCTTCTTTGTTTCCCCAGTTCTAAAGGTTGTATTTCCTTCCTGTAGTTTCCACCTAGGTGATTGCTCTCTGTGCCCTCTTGGCCATTTTCTTTGCCCAAAATCTGAAGACTAATTCTTTTTTTTTTTTTTAATATTTGTTTTTAGTTTTAGGTGGATACAATATCTTTATTTTATTTTTATGTGGTGCTAGGATTGAACCCAGTGCTTCATGCATGCTGGGCGAGCGCCCTACCACTGAGCCAGATGTTAAATCTTTTTAAAATAGCTGGTCTAGCTTTTGTCCTCTGATTAGACTCTGCCTGAAGAACAAGGGTTGAAAATACTCACGGGAGAAAACAACAATCACTCCAGTAGCTGAGATTGCACACTCGGGTGTGTAAACAGCTGGAGGCATTCAGAGTGAATCTTCTCACTACCCCCAAAGAAACTGTAATATCATCTTAAATAATGTTGATGATTGCTCCCCAGCATTCTTGAGTTCACAGGTGAAGTGTAGTTGATTTTCATGAGTCTCTGAGAGACAATGGGTCCTATTTATGATTGCTGAGTCAGTGGCTTCGTAACTTAGACCTGCTCTTATAGCCCTTGTTCCCATATTGTGCAATTGCCCAGCTCTTAAGTCGATCTTCAGAAGATGCCTTTCTCACTGAATCACTCATTAGATTGGCTTTTAGTTTCTTTGGCTCTTCCAGCCCAAGTCTAATGACCTTGAAGAGGAATTCTAAGCAATGTAAATATCTTCAACCTAATAGACTCCTGAATTCTTTCATTTTCTCAGGAACCCATAACTTTTTAAGAAAATACCTAAATTTCAGCCTGATATCAGTTAATATCTCATAGAGCTTTGTTTGTGATCTGATTTATGGGGTCATTCCATTCTCTCTAGGCTGCCAACAGACACTTCTGCTGTCCACTTGAACAGTTTTGAGAAGGGCTCAAAAATGGAAGACCTCTGGTTCTGGCCAGAGGGGAATGGCTTATATTAATCCTTGTGCCAAAATAATGATGGTAAAAGCTAGGCAAAATGTTTAAAGAACCTGCCTGAAGGAATCGGAGAGCTCACAATGCAGGCAGAACAGGAGAGGTTCTGATCCCAGAGAGAAAACCAACATACAAGAAGAGCTTCACATTCTTCCTGGTTTTCCCCTGAGTGCATTTTCCCCGTAACTGGTTAGGGAAGAGGGGGAGAGAGGTGATAACAGAAAGCTGCCATTTGACTGGGCTAAGAGGAGAGTTCAGGGTTACTAGAGGAGCTGGAACTTGAAGGTAAATTGACAGAGATGGCTGAATGAGAAATCTGCACACAAGTCCCCTTTACATGGTGGTAGACTCCTAAGCTGAGCAAATACAGTGAGAACTAGTAGCAAAAA